AAGCGTTCAAGCGTTGCAAGAGCAACACAGAGCAAGACTAATCGAAAGACAGCACGGCACTAACTCTGGAGGTCCCCGCGTTCTCAAGCAGCCTTTGGATCAGACTCGTGTTTCAACGAACATGGCTATATCAATATAGAAAATGTTCAGATGCTGATCTAGCATATGTAATGCCCGATCAAAACAATATGATGTTGCGTGTATAAGTATATGGGTGGAAAACTATGCGGGCAAGCAGTGGAACACGATGTCATGGAAATAGATAGTAATACATATGTATATATAGAGATGCATACCTAACATATGTGCGCGAACAGTTCCCAGGCTTCACAAACACCACATGAGCAAACCAAAAGCACTCGACAAGCAACAAGCACAGTGCGATGCTGCACGTATGCGTATGCATGTCTGTATGCATGCATGCGTGTTTGCATGTTTGTATAATACAACGTTAATGTTAAACTTGATGTAGTGTAATGTAATGCGTGCATGTGTTCATTCAATGTAATGCAACGGTATGTACGCATGTAACAATGTATGTTTGCATGCATGCATGTATGTATGGATGTATGTATGAGAATAAATGTATGTAAAATATCCGCACAAAAAGCACAGTTTTAGGTTTCACAGGCGTCACACACAAATGTTCCAACGTAGCAGAAGCGCCAAAGGGGCAGAAGAATCAAAAACAACACGCCGCTACTCCGGGGGCTTCGCATTCTCAGCCCTTGGGTCAGACTCACGTTCAACGAACATGGCCAAATGTTCTTCGAGCAAATGCGCTACCCAAGGAAAACCCCATGATGTGGCCCGTATCCGTTTATGTGTAGAAAAGTATGCGCACAAAAGCCGTGCACAAACACAGCGCATGTGCCCATGCGAGCTAGGGCAGCGTGTGTACAAACAGTATGCGGGCAAACGTCCCCGCATTCTCAAGCAGCCTTTGGGTCAGACGCACGATTCAATCATCGCGTCTATACCAGTAACTAATAGATACACAGAAGTTCCTTGAGCAAATGCACTAACCGAGCACAACCCTGAAGCAACCTTGTGCTTACAAGCGAAGACGCGTACAGAAGCATGCGCGCAAATACAACAGTATAATGTTGCCCGAAGAATTTTTGCGTGCAGAAAGTGTACCCGCAAACAGTGCAATACAATGTTGCACGTATACGTTTACGTGGACAAAAACCTACCCTAGCACCATGAGCACCACACCACCACCAGCACCACCACTAGGACCCTCTCTTCACAACGTGCACAGCCAGCTCACACGCGCACCCAACACAGGCACCAGCACCAGCACACGGCACCTGCAGCGTGTCTCAAAAGCGAGAATGGGCAGCTCATTCTTAACTGAAGTAGAACCCCATAGCTATCGCTCTCTGGGGAAAAAGGTTTCAGTCTATGATCATCACAACAACCCATGTGTCGCATATCACAACGCCCTCTGAGTGTCACCTCGTGGCTCCCAGATGGACATGTCGCTGCTTCACGATCCGAAACAGAGGAGACGCACATCGCATGCTTGGCACAGAGGAGACACACGTTGGTTCCAGGGCGTTCCACATGAATGCAACATAGCTGGTGCAATGCAACATAGCCGCAGGAGTACCCCATGTGGGTTCTGACAAGGTCATTAAGTCAGTGCATGTCATTGCATGTCATTGCTTTCCAGCAAAAAACGCAAACAGCCGTCTTTCAGCCGCTCTCCACGTCCTTTTTCCAAAAGAAACATCCTGAAGCATCCAAGGGTCCCTCGTACGCCTTCGCGATCCAGGAGAATGCACTCGAAGCCCCAGCCTGAACTCGACGGCAGCCGGGGTCATCACTGGACTGTTAGGGATCAGGGACCCCCTAAAAACGCGGCTTTTCACACCAGGGTCGCGGTGAAGAGCTGCAAGAGCCCCTGGTTGGCGAATTTCCTGTTGATGGGTGTTCCCTAGCTTTCGGACAGTTGATTGACAAAGATGACAAAGTGTTTCAGTGTTTTCCCCTGCTCAAGTCTGACAGTTGTCAAAGCGAGCCACAATCCAAAGGCCAGAATGCCGCTTCTTCTCACATAGGCACTTCTTCTCTGCGAAAGTGGGCACAAATACAGTATATGCTCAGACACAACCTCTGAAGAAGCGTGAAGCGACCCGTGCACTGCTGTTTTCATGCAAAAGAAAGTGCTCAGCACCATTTTCGACCCGGATGCTGAAGCTAGGCAGCTAGAAGCAGAAACGAAGAAGCAGAAACGACTCGAAGGATTCACCACGATCAAACAAACCTCCATGATTGTTGAAGGCACGAATTCACAAACCTGTCTTCGATCTAGACAAAGAAGAAGCCGTGCTTTGAGACCGGAACCACCATGTGCACCATCCGAAAAGCGGAACCAGCTCGAGATCGAAGTTCGTGCTGTGGGTATTTGACCCACATTCCAAAAGACTTTCACAAGCCGAATTTTAGACCAGCCCCGGCCCACCTCGCAACGCCCGACACCTCATATGACTCATGGGAGCGAGTAGCTGGGCGGACATCGAAAAGAAATACACTTTGGTACAGAAAGAGTGTTAGTTTCCATGTCAGAGATCAGAGCTGATGATTGCCTCTCCGTCGCTGGGTGCCCCGGGCGAGCACGCAGCGCGGAACTCAGGACGCCCTGTCCTCCACCTCGCGGTGATGAGGCGGCCTTACAAGAAAATGCACCGCTTTAAGCAGCAGGTGACTGGGGAGAGCTCAGAATCTTGATTCATCAAATCCCCATGTCATGAAAAGGTTTTACAATCCAAACCGAGGGCGTCTTGATCAAGATTCTTCATTAGTGCTGTAACCCCTCAAAGGCTTCTCTGATTCTCCACTAAGCACCAGTAAGAACTAAGAACATCCATCAGACTTCGGGCAAGCTTGAAACTGCCTCCAAAACTTCGTCGTTTTCACCTTGATCCAAAAGCGATAACCAAACCTGCGCACGTGCGCACGTGCCTTGCCATCCCTTTCATTTGGAGGAATTCTCGCAATATCTCGGTCTCCTCCAACGGCGAACGGGTCACCGGCCACGCAGCCTCGGGAGATGCGAGCCCCGAGCCTTCACAAGGCCTGGGGGAGGAGCTGGGCCGCCTGGGGAAGGAAAACAAGTCGAAGTGAGAAACATAGATGCCACAGCGTGCTATGCTGTCCATGCCTCATGATGCCTCCACGCAAAAATGGAGATGGTCCACAATAGGAGATCCCACACCTTAAGTGTGACCAAACGTCTGCTAGTCCGCCTCCGCTTGAAAAAGGTCACCCAGTTGGCACCGAGTAGATGGCCAAGCTTCATTGAGAGGGCGCCTCGACCTCTACGCTAAGTTCAACCCCACCCAAAAAGGTCGAAACCTGTACTCCAAGGCGCTCCTGTCCCACATCCTCAGAAGGTAGGGACAAACCCATTGGCACGCACCTCAACCACCTTCGGATGTGGCACAGGAGCCCCAGTGACAGAGCAAAAAGGTCCAAAAGAGCCGGCCCCAGGTGGCTTTAGGTGGCTCCTCTATGGGGATCATCCTCACATCACGGGGTGAGGAAATGGGCAAGGCCAACTGGCGACAGCTCATTGGTGCAGGAAATGGCTCCCATGAATGTACAATACGCAAATCCCATCAGCGAAAAAAAGAAAAAATAATAATAAATAAACATATGTAGAACAACTGTAAAAACCGTCTTGTCCATTTTCGAGTTGCTGCAGTTCATGCTGCTCCCTGCGGTCCTTGCCCATCCACTCCCTTTGCCCTTCCAAGGGTCGACAGCCAAACACGTCCACGCCAGACTTCCACTCCATGCGCCCGCCGCGCGACGCGCGGCGGCCGTGTCTGGCCAAAGGTCGGTCGATCCTGAACCTCTTCGATGTTGGGTACATCCCAACCTCCCAGGTACCTCCCAACCTCCCAGGTGGACGATGATGCTTAGTAAAGGCATGATGCTTAGGCCTCGGCCTTTCTCAAAAAATAGTGATCACCTCTGGCCGACGGGTACAGGTGTACTGGGACACACCCTGCTTATGTAGATGTGCCCCAAAAGCCTTGACTTGTGAGTCCTTGTGAGTTTGAACGTCTGAAAAAGGCTGCAATCTGGAGAAATTCTGCCTCCGAGGCATCAAGACCTCAACACACCCCACGTTTGGATATGTGGCAAACGCCCTGTAGCAACTGCCACTAGACATTCGGTCTCTCATCATCTAGGCTTCATCTTAGTGGTCTTGGCCATAAATATCATAAATGATTCTTTTGCCCTTGACGTGGATCAGGAAGAGTCCATTGGGGGGACCTGATTCCCAGTTCTTCACTTTGGAGAGGTCTGATTCTCAACAAAAGGCGCGAAACAAAACACGTGGATGCAAATTGGACAGATTCAACTAGCAGCAACTAGCATGGTCTTGGGTCTCCGGTTTCTGGCACCTTTTTGTTAGGTCTCAAGGGATTCATCCAAGCTGCCAAGCTCAAACCATTTCGTCACCCACTTCTGCCTCCCTCGTGCCCGTTCCCTTCGAAGCGTCGGACGGCGGTGGGTTCCCAAGTGTTTTGGAGGAGAACCTAGGCCAACCTGGCCAACAGCCATGTTTCTTTCCCCCGCGATCTGCTCGAAAGAACTCGAAGGCGGCTTGAGTGTCCATACACTCCTGTCTTCCATCGAAAAAAAAAAGATTGGGAGCTTGGCCACGCTTGGCAAATAGAGGAAAATGAGTGTGCATCCTACAATCACGCTGTGTTGGATCGACCATGAGAAGATCATGCTTGAGCGGATGGAGACTTTCCCTCTTTCTGGTCTTAAAAAGAATTCTCTCAAATGTTATCAAAAATATACAAAAATACCCAATCCATAAAGATGGGATGCCCGTCCCCTTTCACCCACTCAAAACAATGTGCTTAGACTATGACATATGTGGCACACTGTCTCCCCAAAGTCGACCAAGTGAGGACAACCACAACCCCCGGCTTCAGCACCTCCAACCTCCAGGTTCGACTGGGCGGCCGCACGTCTGACACCTCAGCTTGATCAGCTTTCTGAGATGGTTATGACTCGGCACTTCAGCCAATTCCTGGAACGACCCACACTGTGGTTTCTACAACATCCGCTACAGTATGCGAGCACCAAAACTCGAGTCTTTGTGTTTTGAACCTGAAAAAAGGTGGTCGGACCGGTCGGATCGGGCGGACGACAGTTCTGTGATCATCGATAGGGCGCTGCTTTAGCGTCTGACATGGTTCTGGGTGGGTGTTATTGGTTCACGATCGCGTCGAAGCATTGTGAAGAAACAAGAAAAATCCAGAAAAAACAAAACCTTGGACTTTTTGAGATACATGTAGATGGATGGCTGAGATCCAAGGACATCTCTCCCGGTCTTGTTTCTTCTTGACACCAGTTGGAGCGGTGCAAGCTGTTTCTTCCGTGTGCGGCCCGACCGCTCCACTTGAGGCACCGCACGCTGGAGACGCCGCTGGGCGCCAAGTCGGACCAACTCACGGAAATGCCCTGGAGAGTTTGCTGGCGCACTCTCTCCGGAGAGGGTGGGAGTGGTCGATTTCACGGAAGGCTTTTTTTCTGCCGGTTTGGATGCAGGGGGGGTTGGGGGGGTCTGGAACTGGTCCACTTCCGGACGGCGGCTAGGCTCCAGGTTTGCTCAAGTGCAGATACTTTTGTGGGTTTTGAAACCATCAGATCATCCCCGGTTCAGGACAAGTCTTGAGCCTCAGCCAATGAGAAGATACACTGATCCGGGCAAGCCCTTCAGTTCCAAAACCTGGCCAGTGAAATCTATATATATACATATATCTAAACGAAAACATCCTTCCACCCACTGTAAGTGAAGACTTCTTCACTTTGCTGGCTTCCTCACGAGACCCGATGGCACACAAACCCAGAGAAACCTCTCCTGCGCTTCCGGTATCGCCTGAGAGAGAGCAGAAAGAAAGTGAGAGAGAGAGAGAGAGAGAGAAAAAATAAATAAAAGAGACAGAGGGTCAGTGTGTGTGTCGGTGGGTGTGTGAGTGCGTCTATAGCCTATAGGCTTATCTCATTTGAGTTGCCACATCTTTGGGATGCTCGAGTTCGGATGAAAGGGTCGTCGAGGCCAGTCACCAGCATATTACCAAAAAAAATGATCAAAAAACGACATGTACTGTTGGGTTCCTTACATGATTGGGATGCTCTTTTTCGTTGGAAACCCAACTGTGAGTATCAACATGAAGGCGAATATGGACCCCGAGAAGGGCACCCTTCTCAAAGAACAGAGTTGTCCTCTACGAACCAGTCGTTTTCAGGCTCCAGTATTCAGCAGGGTAGACAACCGTTTCTCCGTGGTAGACCCGTTGCCCCTTCCGTAAAAAGACCGGTGAAAGTGATGAACTCTTGATGAACTGTGGCTCAGGATTCGCCCCAGCAAGGCTTTTCCATGCTTTGAAACCAACTCTGAGCTCTAGTGGATCTCTGATTCGAACCACTCGTCGCTAGTAGGTTGGACACCATCGCTATTAGGTTGGAGGCCATCGCTCTTAGGATTGGGGCCATCGCTTCTGAGGTCATTGCTATTAGTTAGAATCTTGACCAACATAAACCAATACTTTTGGCCTTGAACCTTGGAGTTTGAACTGGTCGCTCCAATGTCCGACCGAGACAAAGAGAGGTCGAGCTTCCCGGGCACGTTCAAGTTGCACTGCAACCGGGTCGGGGGGACCTCTGAATCGCCCACTTTGGTGCAACATCCACTTGGAGCATCTGTTCGAATCCAGCACCTGGAATTACACATTGGACCTTGAACAAATGTGGGACATCTCTGGAACGTGGCGAGTTCGCTTCGCTTTCTTCATGCCTTTAGGAGCACGGAAAGATCGTTGCTTCCATAATTCATCAAGAGTCTACATTAACTCTCCGACTGGCAAATTCAACAACCATCGACAGTAGAAGCAAAAGTCACACCCCGCTCGCGTATGGACATGGAAAAGACCTCGAACCCTGAAAGTCCGCGGACCAGTTCATCCGAGGCCCTCTATGGCCGTCTCAGATCCGCTTCTTTGACTTCTTGGACAAAACGACTTACTTCATCTGTCTCTAGTAGTGTCCTTGCTCCTAGTAGTAAGGCCAGGAGCCCCTAGTAGCGTCCTTGCTCCGTTCGTAGCGACCCCAGGAGCCCCTAATTAGTAGCGTTCTTACTTCATCTGTTCCGGGATCGAAAAATGGCAAGCAGAAATGGAACCCAGACATAAAGGAGGTCAGCCTTCGCACCGCAGGACTTCCGACTGACAGGGGCGCGGCCGGGGGGGTTCGGTTCGGTTCGGTTCGTCGCAGCGAAATCGGAGCGGCGCTCCCCCTACTCGCGGTGTGGGAGAAGGATGTGAGAGGGGGGAACAAACGAGGTTGGAACAAATGTTGATTGTTGCGAAGAACAACACCCTCCAATTTGGATGGTCAAACATCTCCTAAGTTTGCGTCTTACTCCATCAATTCGTCAACCTGGCTGTGGAAACAAGATGTTGTTTTTCGGGACATCGTCTCTTCAGACAGTCTTCACCATCCGCCCTGTGATGTCGCCGAGGTCCCCAACCGCGCCAAAGCAAGATTCCACCATACATGCGCCCCCACCTGCGATACGGTGCATGGTGGTGGCGGCTCCGGTAGGATATGCTTCTTCCAAGTTCGACGCTTAGGCGATATAGAGAAGAAGAGGGAGACCTCCAACCAACAGGTAGGCCGGGCTTGCTTTCCCGAACCGAACCCAGGGCTGAGGTGAACCGCTCATGTTCACCCAACTGTTGTGGTGGTGTAAATGTCCGAGGATACAAATCCCAGACAGGAGACCATGTCGACAAATGTTCGGTGATGATCCGCAACGAGATGGGACGTTCCTCCACGATGAAAAGGGCGGCAAGGAGAAAAAAAAACGCGGCTGGCGACAGGGCTCAAGCTTTGGACGAAGATCCCCTAGTAATGATACTCCTGGTGACCCCGCTTGGATTGAAACAGCTCTTCATTGGGTATGACCTGTAACAGTGGATGATGATGGTTCAGTTGCAGGCCTTGTTCAAAAATGATTTTATCGTAAAGGACAGAGCCGATTGCTCTTCATATGGGGTTGGAATGCGTCTTCAAGAGTCCGTCTACATGAACTCTACGGGGCGGTTGGGTCGGCACAGCCGTAAGCCTTTGGGTTCGGTCTGCCCGCCAAGCGTCCCACCCCAAGCACCTGTTGCCACCTCCGCCGCAGGAGCGCTTCCAAGAAAGCCCTGGCAGGACATGGAGCCCTGTGACTGAAAGAAATCCATCGAGAAATGTCAGAAACACGCTTCAGTTCAGGTAAACCACTGAGTCTCCCTGCAAACGCTCACTTTTGTCCAAAAGGTTTGGTGTTTTGCTCTGCAAATGCCAGGTTCATGGTCCGAGCTAAGATCCTAAAATGGGAATCGGTTCAAACGGTTTGGAAAACCCGACCACCGGCGCTCCTTGTGTGAAGTCTTAAGACTATGACTGAACCACACCTTGGAGAGTACTGTTGTTCTTCCACTTTGGGGAACTCCAGTCTTGAGGACCCGGAAAGCTGCCTTCAGCCCCACCCGGGCGGGGAAACGACAGGTGGCATCAGACACACCATGTTGTCAGGAAAGATTGCAGTTTCGAGGGGGCACCTACCTTATCATGAACGATGGATATAAGTAAGAAATAATTCACTTATTATTTGCCATAGGCATTAACTTTAATATCTGTAAGTTATGGCCAAAAAAACATATGTTTATATTAAAAGCCTATGGCAAATATATTAAGAGACAATGAATAATCAGTTAAAGACTATAGATTATAGATATAAAACAAATGATCCATTAAAATATAGCATTAAATTAATATGTTGGAACCCCATGAACGCCATTAATGCATTATATTAATAATTGCGAACGGATGAAAAGTGTGCCCTGGCCCCGTTCTAGCCCTTAGTTCAACATGAAGCTCGCGCGCTAAAGCTCCTTTTTACCTGGTTGGGCACTTGAGCCAAAAGTATATGGCATGTACCTGTATAGCAACTATGCTGGGACCTCATCCCTATTGACACCCCCCACATCCGTACTTCGACGGGGAAGGGAGATGAGTGGATGTAAAAACCGGAGAACGAATCACGTTCTCAAAAGTGTATTGGAGGTCAACCAGTATGTCCTATTGAATTGAGTTAGCAAACGATCTTGCATTCGCTTGAAAGTTGGATCAAACAGGTAATGGAGCTACAAACGGAAAACGTGCGCCTACCCATGGTATCATGCGATTACCAACGGTGTGAAACACAATCCTATCTCACTCCCATGATGCCAAAACGGTCATCATGAATTACCCAAGATCCCTCAGTGCTTGAAGTACCGGAAGTGGCATGTCGGTACGACCCCAATGCTCAACCATTCGTGAGTTGTCGCATGTAGTCAGCGCCGACAAAGCCAATGTAGTCCTTGATGAGCTCAACGTTCCTCGGATTTCCCGCTCGGATCTGCTCCTCGAAGAACTTCAATTTCTGTGCTTGGATAGCGGATACCTCTATGCCATAATAGCGGCATGCAACGAGGATCTCCTTCGTGACATTCTTCCGCTCCGATTTGATGGCGGGACTAATGTCAATGAATTTGTATGGAGCGGCACTTTCGTCATCTGGTTTCTGGTAGTAACTATATCGGCTCGCTCCGAAGGTCTTCCTGATCAAGCGTCTGATGAAATTTGAGATGAATGCCAGTTTCTCGATGATCTCTTCCTGGGTCTCTGACCTTCGAGCCTTTGGATCACTCATGTTACGCCGAGTGCTGCCGACCTCTTTGAGGTACTTGTGGCTAAGCCCGCAGCGGATTGCAGTGATCATCATCGGGTGAACAACGTGGGCGTGGAATTCATAGATCTGCCACGCTTCTGTTGCATACACGTCGTTGGTCCATTTGCTCATGCCTACGACCTCGGCTCTCTGGAGACGTCTTGGAAACCCAGTATCCGGATCATTCGGTACTATTGGCCATCTATTGTACGGAGTATCATGCCGCTGTCCATCGTCGAACTTTCGCGGCACATCTTCACGACTCTCAAAGCAGTTGATGTCGAATGTTGCGTTGGCCAAGCTCTTGATCAACTTCATCAACCTCAGATCAAATTGTTGTGTGACTGCAAAGTTGTGGTCGATGGGGGTCGCAGCTTCTTGCGGCAATTCGTCAATTGCGAAGGGGAAGGGCTGTGGAAGTTCATTCCCGTATCCATCTTGAGGGACCTCCCGATATTCGGGTTCGCCTTCAGCTTCGTCCGGTCGTTCCTTCAAAATGATAGGAACTTCCTCCTCTTCCTCTCCTTCGGATTCCTCGACCTCAATGACCTCTTCGGCTGTCTTGCGTGCGTTCTTGATGACTTCATCGATGTTCGCACCCGCAGCAGAAGTTGCTTCACCGGAAGAACTGGCTGGGACATCTCTCGGAGGTGATCGTTGATTGCGGTCCCTTGTCTCCTTGGGTACCACATGCGTGAGCTTCCCATTCGCGATCAAAACCGCTACGCAGTGCGGACATATCGGACATATCGTCAATCGCACATCGACTTCGCCAAGACAGTTAGGACACGGTCTTGAGTCATAGTCTTTCATTGCCCGGCGGTATACGATCTCCTCAAAGATTTCCTGCCACTCGGTGCTATCATATTCTGGGTAGACACCACTCTCCTCGATCATGCCCAACAGCTTTGAGATTTTGGCGTCGTCCTCGGAGTAGGTATCGTCCTGAACCTCAACCGCTAAACTCTCAAGCTTTTGATAGCGTGGAATCATGATCGGGTTTCCGTATTTGGACTCCAGAACAAGGTAGCTTCCAGGGTCGGGTTCCCTATTGAGTAACCTGATCCATTCGATCTCCTCAGGCTGTCCGGGTTCCGCATTGTCGCATTGCAACCATGCCCCTTTAACCTCATCGAAGGGAACGACGTTCTCAACCAATAGAGAGCCAGTCGCTGAGATGAGAAGTCCGTACTCCTGCAGCTTCCACACCGGAATGTAGAGAACCACTGGGCGATCATTCAATGCGACCTTACGACCCAGCCAAGGTTTTCCCTTGTAGCCCTGCTCCCAGGCCCATGGCGGAAAACATGTGAAGTGGATAGAGTCCCTTCCCGATGAACCGAGACCTCCTGGCACTAGCCCCCGTCGCATGATTGAAGTCAGCGCTCCAAGATTGGTAGCGTGAAATGCAGTCACCATAGATAGGGCCATGTCGTTGGTCATTCTCGATCCAATGTGGTCGATGTTAATGGTAACGTCATAACCTCCGCCGTCCGTTGAGTGTGCTGAGGTTGCTCTTACGGCCACGGGAAAGCACCATCCATCGCTATGGTGGAGTCTTCCTTTAGAGATTCCCATGTCCTTGAGTCCGTCAATCCATTCCTTCTCCATCGGGTCATCAGGGTCATTGAGTTCATCAGGGTGAACGCGGACCGCCAACATTTGGAATCTGATCCTCTTGGTTACGCGGAAACACTCATAGTTCTGGTCGAAGTACTTCTCCAAACGCGCCTTCTTGGTCACGATGTCTATGTTGCCGTAGTGATAACCGTCTTCCCAAACTGCGTTATCACCTAACAGGTCTTCCCATGACACCCATGCGCCTTCATCGCATTTGATTGGTGTGAGTCTTCCTCCCGTCCTGAACTGGCGTCCAATTCGATGCCTCAACTTCGCTCCCAATCGACGACTCAGGGCCTGGCTCGCTTGGCTGTATTCAGGTACTCGACAGTCTGGAGTCGGATACTTGTGGTTGCCGTAGTCGGAGTTCTGTGCGGCGAAAGTGACTCCGTTGATCGGTACTAGCTCAACTTTCCCGACCATCGTCATGGGGTCGATCGGCTTGTATCCCTTCTCCCTCCGTGTCGGTAGGGGATAGAAGTGATGACATGCCTTTGGTGTGAGGGAACTGGAGTGCACAAATGCCTTCTCTACAAATTCGTACACCACCCTCATATCCCTAGGGCCTACTTCCGCAAGCTTCCGCCCATTGTAGGAATGTGTCCCTCCTTCGACTCCATCAGCACTTTCGATCAAGGTGAATCCGTCATGGTCGAACATTGTCACGACTCTTGCTTTCAACATTTCTTTTCGCCTGAACTCGCTGTCGACCTTCCTATCTGGAGTAGGCGATGCTCTCTGCTTCTTCTTCTTAGGCTCCTCGGTTGGATGTCCGGATGGTACATCGTCGGGTGCAACCTCTCCCTTCACTCTCTTCTTCCAATCACTCAACACTGAGGTGACTGTAGGTGAAGATGAAGGGGTCTTCTCGCAATTGAGAGTTGTGTGTCCCGACTTCATGCAGTGGATGCAGAATTCTGCTTGCCCGATCTTCTCCTCGAATTCGTCGATGGCTTGCAGTATTGATGTCTTCGGGTCGGACATGTCAACGTCTTGCTCCTCCTTCTCCTGTTCACATTCAGTCTCCATATCGACACCTTCGGCCTCAGGCTGGTCAGTAGCCTCTGTTCCCTGTTCTGGTTCTTTCCCAATTTCGAAGAAGTGGTCGATGTCGAATTCAGGAGGCGGCATGGTCCTCATGCGAACGAGAATCAGTGCCACGTTTGCCGCCTCATCAGAGTGCGGGTCCAAGGTCCTGATCGTCGATCGTTTTCGGTTCTCATACGTTGTCCTGTCGTACAGCGATGCAGTGACGCGTTTGATGGATTCTTCTAATCCCGTCCTCAAAGCTTCGATGTCACCCCATCCCTTGAACAGGTGTCTGAAGAGTTGAGCAATTTCGAACATGCCCAGCAGCGCTTCCACCATGTCACCTACCCGTTCCTCCGTGGGATCATCTCCGAATATAGTGCGGAATACATCGGGCTCCAATATGGTCTTGAGGTATTTGGTGTAGCACACGTTTCCAAGGTCATAGGATCCCTGGTAGTACTTGGCGCTGCCGACTATCTGCTTTTCCACATGGATGCTGGGTCCTCTCCTCGTTTTGAAGAAGTTCTCCGTCATTGTTGATGACAGCCTGATCCCCCCGAAGAACGAGATCTCCTTCTGGAAACCTGGGTTCCCGTTAAAGATGATCATCGCCTCGTGTAAGAACTTCATCAAGTCTACGTGCGGGTTCATCTCGGAGATCATGACGGTGGGAGAAGATACCGTTTGCCACATGCCGAAGTTGTGAAGCAATCGCGCACATGCATGGAATCGCTTCTGGACGTAGTCTTCTGCGGACATCCCACGGCATCTATTTGCTGCTCCGTTGATGCATTC